ACATTCAACTTTGACATTGTCCAAAATGTATAGGTTTTCAGTATTTTCTTTGCCCATATTTTATTCGATATGAATTAAAGGACAGTCGGAACATTCAGGGATTTGCCCTGATATACGAGCAGTCTTGTATGCATTAAAATTAATGATATTTTTATAAAACTTAGCACAATCAAGTGCCATTTTAGTTGAAGATGCTGTCACTTTTCAGTAATTTACTCTGATTATTTTTATAATTGCGGATTACATGACAGCTTAAGTTTACTAAGCACACGCATGTATATTATCATTTTTTGTGGATTCCACAAACTGTTCTGGATTCCGCAAAGCTGCCTGTTTTTCGGAGCGAATTTGAGCAATACAGTGTTTTAGCTATTTTTTCGTGGAATCCAAAACAACTAAGAAGATCAAAGAGAAATAGCATTGTTGCGGATTCCGCAACAATTCTGTTTTTGGCCCTGTGCAAAATTGGCTCACAACTTACAAGATGCACACTTTGGCCACGTAATTGCAGGCCAATCGGAAAACCAAGCGTGAAATTTCGAGAAAATAATTGAAAAAAAAAAACTTTTTTTTTTGGTTCTGCTGGCTTTCGTTTCATCAAATTTTTGCGAGAGGAGCAAAAATCAGTACTATTCTAAAATTGGAAGTTTGACATAGGTTTTTGGGATGCTTAATTTTCAAGCTGTTATTTTTTCGGGGAGGGGGAGGGATTGTTGCGAGCTCGCAGGCCGACAAACTTGAAATCAAACGACATATTTTAACTAAAATTTTATCAGTTCACCACGAGGGAAAAGGCCAAAATATGAGCGCTTAAGATCTTTACGGAGATCCGCTGCTAAGCCGTTGACTAGCATCAACATGAATCGCTGTTCCTCAAACCACCAAATTCATCGCCGATCCCTTGTGTATTATGTTACTAAATCGATAATATATGCTCAGCGATAGTGAACAGATTTGTACTATGCTGCTAAGTCAGTTAATTTTACCCAACAACCCTCAACTGGTCTCAGACGATTGCCTGCCGATACTACTCTACCATGTAACTCAATCAAGCAACAAACGTTAATAATGTTGTATAATAGCAATCTTAACTCCCTTTAGAATTCATTATATGAATAGAATAGTCTGCCTAATTAGCACAGCAGGGACCTGCTCAAATTGAAAGGATCGATCATTGCCCAAATTACTGCACGCAGGCACTTAAGGGGAGGGTCCCAGTTTGAAGTCATTAACTGACTTAAAACGGTCAACTGAAGGGAATGATGCTCTAAGTGAAGTGCAATTAAAATTTTATCGTCCAAAGGAGATCGTTCCAAGCACCGATAGACCTTGCGACCCAAATTGTCTACATTTTACCAATTTTCGCACGGATTGGCGCTGGCTGGCCTAACTAAGAACAACAAAACTGCTTACGGCGCTTACATAATTTACATAGAAGTTTTATGTATCTTATGAATTTCTTCGACTTCTTTACGATATTTTTTGCGATAATCTCGAGCTTGTTCATTAATTTTAGTCGCAGGTAATTTTTTTGATATAAATTTTTTCATGTGTTTAGGGTAAACTAATGGGTAAATAGTCTTGCGGTACAGTCTGCTGTTTGGAGGTTGCTCAATTGAACGGCCTTCAGCTTAAATGGCGTCCTTTTGTATTTCGGTTTGAAAAGCAATTCAGACGCAATGCACTTAATTCAAGCCAATACAAAGACTTGGTCTCGGGCAGCTTAGGACAAAAGCCACAAAAATACCTGATCTAAGCCGCTGGAAAATGCAGTTTTTTCGGGGATTATTTCGAAAACTATGCACTGTAGCATATTGAATTCGGTTTTTGCTACTTGAATGATTTCTGAACTCGATGTCGTTTTCGGTCAAAACTACCCCAAAACTTCGGGAGAAAACCGTCGCAATGAATCACCTTCAAAAAAAATGTTTGCTGCTTTCCCTCCAATTTTTTAATTCTGAAAAAACCCAAAACAGATTTCTTGATTTAAAAAAGCAAAAAAAGGAAATAAAGGGCTGTTTTACCAGGAAATGATCAATAACTGTCTGATGTAACTGTGTAAAAATTGATCAAAGTGTTAGATGATGATCATCGCTATTGTCTAGAGAACTAGAGATCCGCGCATCTCAAGATTTTGTTTGTCATAACGCGATTTAAACTGTTCAAAAAAAAATAGAATTTCTTCATGAGTTTCCAACAGCGTTGATCAAAGTGTTAAATGATGATTATCGCTATAATCTAGAGATCCGCGCATCTCAAGATTTTGTTTGCCATAACGCGATTAAACTGATCAAAAAAATGGAATTTCTTCATATGAGTTTCAAACAGCATTCATCTCGCCCACTTTCAACAAAAATTTTTTGGTTAGTCTGTTTTGCTTACACAATTCACCTTGGTATCAGTGTTTTATTACAACTGTGCTGATTTAATTTATCCGAACAAAACTTGTAATTTTGAGGTTTTTACACGCCTTTTTGTCATATTGGGTTGATTTTAGAATCAAAGCGATGAAGACAAAAGTATCTTAAAATTTCACCAGAACTATGATGGTGCAAATTGGTTTACAAATCTTCGATCGAAAGTTTCATCCGTCAATTGGCTATGTTTGGCGCGATTTGATTGATCAAAATTGCGAAAAACTACTGCATTTTTGGAAAATTATAAATCAAAATGGGCGTCTTACTCAAAAAACAAAGTTTAAGGAAAGTAATAACTCTGAAAATCCACCAAATGCATTATAAATTTGTTTTTAACCACAAAATGGCCCTTAAACGTAACAAACCGGAATAATTGGGGCTGCCAGATACTAAAACGTACTTTTGCCTAAATTTTCAGACATTTTATTTTTTAGTTTTGTGATTCAGACGCTCGTTTCAATATAACTTAAAAATAAATTTACCCATCATCCCTTGCGTAAATTTTGATGAAACTATATTGAGCCAAAAACGGGCTATTGACGTGAAAATTTTTTGGGTCCACGTGTAGCAAACTTTTAGTAAAATTATAAGACACTATTGTAAGATAACGCAACTTCAGACAACAAAGCGTTTTTGGTTACAGGTTTTACTAGTTTTATCCGGATATTTTATATCAGCACTGTAGTTTTTCCCAAATAAACTTTTTACGGCCTTCTATCATATTGAAGCCCTTGAAAACAAAAACATGCAAACGATTTAAAATTTTTTGAGCAAATGATTTTATATTTTCTTGCTTAAACGCAAATGCCAAACCTCTACTCATTTTTCTCTACATATCTCTCTCTATTTCTCTGTCTCAGTTTTTTGTCTTTTAACACTGTTTTCAGTTTATTGTATTATAAGGAAACCGGATCAAGTAAACAATATACTTTTTACTGAACGCCACTCTGCAGTTTCTCACAAACGATTATATATTTTTTTAAATAAAGAAAGTAGCCAAATTTTGTGCTAGTAGCAGATATGATGCTCCGATCACATTGATTGACGTAAAGAAATTCAAAAAAAAACGAGGGCGATTAAAATGCGTACAAATCTGCAAAATAAAGTATAAAATTGAACAATTAAAACAAAAGTTCCAGAAAAATTAAAATGAGCGTTCAATCGTTCGTGCCAATTTAAATGTCGTTTCTCCTTTTTTCTGAAAAACGAAACTCTTTTGTCCAGTTTTTGACAAATTTTTTCATTTATATGGGGCTTATTTTCAGACTGATGTATTTTGTGGTGCAAGTTAACTTTTTGGGATTGAAGATACTTTTTTTTGCGTCTAGAGATTGCAGCCAAATTTGTTCAGGCTGTGGCAAACCTGAAGCTAGAGGTCAAGCGTGAGAGTTCGTCCTTATACATTGTCATTGCAATGGCAATGGAATATTTACACGATCTGACGCGTCAGTCATTTGAACCTTTTGTTTTAGGCATTGTAACTAACAAGCCTACTAGTATCAGGTCAAAACACCAAATTTTCCAATATCATATTAAATTTCCGAAAAAAAATATGATAACGCCCAATGAAAAAAAAAACAAAGCGATTTATTTCGCATATACTAACACATTTTCTCAACTCATAAGCACGGTTCAATTCAGTTTATGAAAGATTCGTGAGTCAGATAAATTCCCCATGTCTGAAATGATTTTTTTTCTACAAAAATGCTCAAATTAACATTTCAGTTCAACAATGAGAAATTAAAAATTTAGTTTTGAAGGATTAGCAGATGCAATGATATAGTGTTCTTGAAAAAAATCCTGACGGTCTGTAAACTTATTTTACCTTACTAAAATCCATAAAGGCTATTAATTTGACTTGACCTTCTTCTCCTTGTATCATTGAAGGCAAGATAATTAATGTTGTTCGCCAATCGTTTGGTCAATTTGAGTTCGGGGTTGATTAAAACTTTCAGAGGGAGGGGTCATACAAAGCATCCATTTGAAAGCTTCGCGGGCGTAATTTAGAAAGCAAAAGAACCTCATAAGAAAAGGGACTATAGCCAAAAAATGAAAAGCTTGAGAATTTCATAGATAATTGTAAAGTTCAAAATACATTACATTACAAAAAAAAAACGAAAAAAAATTAAAATTTCATATTTTAAAAGAATCGCTCGTCTGAAACAAATAATTAACCGCAATTGGTTATTGTTCTTTAAATATTAATATATTGGAATTCATAGGTTGCAAAAGGGCAATGAAAATGGAAAGTTTGCGGTTTAGTAGACAACAGAAAAGCTACTAGTCCCAAAAAGCTTTCTTTTTTGTTTCACCTTGAATATTTCAAGTCACAAGAACATAAAGCTTCAGATATGCCAGCAAAGTGTTTATTATAAAACAGAATATTGATTTCACTTACCCCGGTATAAAGAGATAAAATTAGAAATTTTTTATTCGTCACTATTTCCGCAAAGCTAACCCATTTTGATAAAAATGCATTTGAAATTTCAGCTTTTATTCCCTTTGTCCAAAAATTTAAAATTATGAACTGTTTCCAAGAATGTTGCTGTTACACAACATTAACATCTTTCTATTTTCGCTCACCTGCTGCTGCTGCTGCTGCTGCTGCTGCTGCTGCTGCTGCTGCTGTAGCAGTGGCGCCTGATTGGCCCATCCTGTGTTCCAGTTGTTCCAATTCCCTCCTCAAGCCCTGCAGAGTGTGGGTGTGTTGGGAGGATAGTTGGTCCAACTGCACCTGCAGTCCACTCACCTTCTCCTCCCTCTCCCTCACACACCCCTCGTAGAACTCCTTCATTGTCTGTAGCCTCATCTCGTTCGAGGCACCCTCCTGTTAATTAAATTGTATTTACTTAGTTAAAACAATTAATTAAGTTAATTTAAGTAAATTTATTATTAAATAGGAAAATAGCCCAAGTAGCCCAGAAGTTTCCAATCACACCTGGTTTTGAAAAAAAATCTATTTAGTAAAAAATGTCCGGGTTCACAGTATTTCAAAAACATCTCAAAGCTTTTTCGGAACTATTTATTGATCTACAAATATAAAATTTACTCGACTTAAACCAATCTGATCGATTTATATAAAATCTCAACCCGAGATGAACAATGGTATTGAAAACAAATGTAGCCGGTTGCTGTACAAGTAGCATAAAGTGTTCTAACAGTGAAATGAAAAAAAAATCAAAAATAAAAAAAAAACAGTAAGAAAGCAACCGAAAATTTTTTTTTCAAAATTTTTGAGGTTTTTTTCAAAAAAAAAGCCATTAAATCAGTTCAACGAGACGATAAAACAGCTTAACTGATGAATAAATTATAGGCGAATTAAATTAACAGGTCATCTGCAAATTAGTATTCTTTTGAAATTAATTAGTGCACAAACCTTTTCTGTTTTTTCATTGAATTCGGTCTTCAATTTTTCCACCATTTTCCTATCACTTTCACTCTCCATTCGCATCCTTTCCAATTCGTCTTTCAACACCGACTTCTCAATCGCAAGCGTCTCGTTCAACACTCTACTGTCGTCTAATTCACCTTTTCGGCTGCTTGAAATCGACTGCTCTAGTTCCAGCTTCTCCTTTAACGATTCCATTTCTTGCCTCAACTCAACCAAATCCGACTGACACTTGTTCAGTTGGTCTGATAACTCGTTTGCTCGTTCTTCTTTGCTTCGCAATAGTTCCTCGTATCGTTTCTCGAGGTCTAACGAAACGCTAGCTAGAGTTGTGGATGGCGTACCTCCGCCATCCGACTCGCGCAGTTCGGATGCGTTTGGAGAGATGACGTCATTGTCATGTCTTCGGATGTTGTTTGACGTTGTAGGGTAGCTATGAGTGGCTGTTGTGCGAGGGTATGAGCTGGATTCAGGGTAGTATTGCAAGGATGACTCATCGAAGCTGTCAGCTACTGATATCAGGCTGTGAAAACTCTCGGCGCCTACAACAAGTATTATATTGAATTTAAATTAGTGTTCCGACTTTCGGTACGAAAGTAACGGAATATTTGTGCTCGGGGTGGGTTTTTTTTTTCTTCAGACAAATTTCGACTTTTTAACTAGCCATTTTTGACGGAATTTTTTAATATCATTCGAAAGGTATTGTTGTCCTGAGCTCAAATTTGAAAAGATATTTTACCTGTGATCATTTTTCGTTAAGTTACGGGGGTTTAAAGATTGCCATTTTGGCCAATTTGGTACAATTATATTTCGCGCTATTAATGCGTAAGCGGAGAGTTAATCCGTCTTAGAAATCATTTTAAATTGGTTGAAAGAAGCTGATTTGCCATAATTGATGTGTTACAAGGAGCGAAATCTATCCTTTTGTACTTTATATAGCGTGTGGGGGGATGATTTTCATAAAAATTCAAACTAAAAAAAAACTCATTTTGTTTATTTAATTTTTTAATGTTTTTACAGCTCCATAAACCTTAAAAGGCAGTCGGAACATTCGGGGCTTCGCCCTGATACGAGCAGTCTTGTTCTATTTTAATTTCATATGTAGTTTATCCATTTTGATTTAGCCATTTTTTCTATTAGGTTTTTTGAAACAAAAAGCTTGTGATAGATGATAGAGGACAGTGGAGACATTCAAGGAGTAGCTCTGATATAAGAGCAGTCTTGTTTAACTCTAAAGCGAGAGAATCTAGAGAGACATGCAGCGAAATTTCAAGAAATTTCTTGAAATTTCGCTGTACGTCTCGCTGTTCCTTCAGGAGTATTAAAATTGAAACGAAGATCTATCAAACGACTAGAGAAGTTCACCGAATAGTCTATCTAACGATCCTAATTAAACTTTTTTTAAATTTTGTATCTTTTAACTGAGTGGTTCTTGGGTTAGCGTCAGAAAACTATAGTTAACAAATGAAACCTTTTCGCCTTCTCGGGGCCTATTTCACAACAACTGTGCAAAGTCAGATAACACAAGGTAGGAGTAAACATCATTAAAAAAAAACTTTTTAAAGGTTTGCAAGACTATCCGCAAAAACATTTAAAAAATTAGGAGTGCTATTGACTTCATATATGTGTTATTTGCTTCTTGCCACGAATGGTGCTTTTTATGCAACTGAAAAAAAATATTTAAACGAACCAATTTATTTTTTTAATAAAATTAATTCTGACAGCTTTTTATCAGTGCCGAACAAAATTTTTTCCAAGTTAATCAATAGACGGAACAAAACTGCTCAGTATTAAAGTTAGGCAGGCTTCTTCGTCGCATTTTTCCCTTTACAACTCAAACTTTAAAATTTAGTATTTGATACCGAGATTTGGAAAACTAATGGTTACCAAAATGTTGGATTTGCCTTGATGTACGAGTAGAGCAACCCAACCTTGTTATAACTTGATACATAATATCTAAATTCAGTTGCATCTTTTCAGTTGAAAAGTATTTTTAACGGATACAACTAGGCTTTACACAAAAATTAAAGAAACAG